AATGCATACCCTTTTCAATCGAAAATTGATGTGTGATTATACTTCGACTATATTTCACCTCTTTGACTTATTTCTTCATCCACTTGACCTCTAAAACTCTTGAATTTTCATTCCATCGTTCGTCTCCCGGTTCAACTTTTGATTTTTGCAATTTAGTCCTTGAACTTTTGATATCTTTCACTTTGGTCTTTCTTTTCCCCTTTCCTCTAATTTATGCCATAATCATCCAATTGCAACCTAAATCAAAATATAAGGGTACTCAGCACATTTAGGCGTTAATTAATCACAAAAATGCAAGTATTAATGGATGTAAAACATGACATTTTATGTCTTATCTGTCTATTAATAAACACACCTCTATTATTATCCGGGGTACTTGAATCTTGCCTTGGAATTCTATTTTTCCCGCTATATTCACTTCTAGTTCTTACTATGACTATATCCAGTTTACAGCATAATCGTAATAAAGATTGGCCAATATCATTCATGAAATATGGAAAAATAATGCAACAAATAAACTTACTGGCATAGCTGTGCTCTTTCGTATTCCGAGATCATATACATGGACAGTCTACAGAATTATAACCTCGCTCTGATACCACTCTCTATCACAATCCCATTTATATAGATAACTGTACATTACCTTGTGTGGGAATGAACTTGATGACTCAACCTCGACATAGAATTCCCCATATTTTTTCACCTAATAACACGACATAAGCATTTTCACAAGTATGTCCCTATTTGTTAATTTCTAATCACCTATGACGATCATATATTATATCGAAAACAAAATTAAATCATCATAATCCAACATATATATTCTGAGATTATAAACATGTCTACAGGTCATGTCAAAAGATATACAACACAAGATCCCCAACATATAACCTAATATACCATAAGCTCAAAATGATAGCCCACAAAATAACCCTACAGGTCGTCATCCATGTACATCAAACTCTGAAATCCCATAAGAGCTCCACAGCTAGCCATTATCTCTATGTAACTCCATGCTCACCTACAATGCAAGACTACATAAGCTAATGCTTAGTAAGGAAAAATCATGCATGTCATGAATATGAGCAAAAAATCATGCATGTCATGAGCAATAATGAGATATGCCACGATAAAGATGCATCATATTCCAATATTCATCAAAGTCAACTCAAAATCATTTCATTTGAAAATTTTCATTTCATTGGGCGCTTGAGCTCTATATAATATCAATAATCAAACGTCCAATATGAAATCAATACCAGTGAGTGGACCATCCTTTCGTGACCACTAGAGGCCCATCTCCTAACTGCCTCTATGATCACCCAAGTCTCTCACCTGACAGTGCCAATAATCATAATATCACAAGGGCACAGTCGAATGATCCACCCTCCCGTAATCACCAAAGGCCTATCCCCTATCTACCTTTGCAATCACCCAAGAAGTATCACTCGTGATGCCAAATATATCACATAAGCATGCGTCACTTGCCTCGGTGCCCTAGTAGTGGTCAATAAAATATTTATAAAGAAAAACTCAATTTGAAATCATGTTTTGCATGCATGATTTTCAACCATGATCACATGTCGTGCATGCATATGAAAATGCTCATGAATGACATATTTAATGAAAATCGATGTCAATAAGTTCTGCAATCGTATACTCAACGATCATAACCATCATATGATGTGCAATAAACCTCTTATCAAAGTTATGTAACTATTCCAACATTAACATATTACAAATACTAGGCTCTTGCATCGTAGTTGCAAATAGATTTTTACTTTGACCTTTGTGTATGCAAGCTCCTACGGAGTGTGTATCAGTTTTCTTTTTCGTTCAATATCGAAAAATCACCAGTATTACCATATAATATTAAAGACAATCCTCAATTTAATAACCTTAAGCCACAAAATCCTAAAAACAAATTAGACGAATCCATTATTTCAAGTTACCGAAGTTATTACAAACTAACCCCATAAATTTCTCTATTTCTCGAGTCCAATTATGAGCATCGACATCATCCAATTGTTGTTGACAACATAATACTCCTTAGAATCTATTTTCTAGGCCCAAGAGATCATTGATGGATATATAAAGGTTAAAACTACCTTAAACTTTTAAATGGACAGAATCTGGTTCTAGGTTTCCATCACCGTCCACTCATTTTTGGATTTCTTTTTTCATGCCCTTAACTACATTTAACGACTCCAAAATTTGACCACACACTTATAACATATATGTGAAGATAAACAGGTCATAATATTGTGACAAATGAAGGGTTTCCAGCTTCAAAAACCGTCCATTTTCCACTACACCAAATCAGGCAGTTTTTCCCTGTGACTGTTTTCGGTTTCCATTTTATTAGCATGCCACCAATCAGATTCCAGGCTATTAGAAGACCATTCTTATTCTTCTAACTCTCATATAACAACATTCATTTACATAGATACAATTTATATCTTAAGTATTATCTAAAATCAAAGTTTAAATCATTCAAATCTGGCAACCATATCTCTGCATGTCCAGGTTGTCTTGTTTTAAGTTTTTGTAGTTAATTGCTCCCATTTTTGCCATCATAAAATCATTAAAAACCCTCTTACTTAACCTCAAGAAAGTTTAGAGTTTTAACAGACTATGAAGCACCCAAAAGAACTAAAGGAAGACTTCAAAACTGTGACTTAAACTCACCTCCTCAAATTGCAATAGTAGCTTCTTATTTTCTGCCGCTCTCCGTCCCTTTTTGCTTTCTCTTTCAATGGGTGGTCGATTGGGGATAACTTGGAAGGCTAAACATGTTTGTACAAGGTTTACATAGATTCTTATAGGGGTTGGGGGCGTGACTCTTCCTTAAGGATTCAGAAAATGTGATTAAGGGACAAGTGGATTCAAGCATGAGGTGTCCAAGTAGGTTATGGCCTCTTGCAGCCAACTTTGACTTTTCCCTTGCACTATATGAGTCATCTCTGACTTATAGGAATTATATTTATCTTATATAAGATGCCAAGGGTTTGGGAGACGTGTTGGAGGCTTAAGGTTGAAGGAAATTAATGTTAAGAGTGACAAGTCGTAACATGGTAAGTAGGTGCTGTCTCCTTTTGGTTAAATCCTGATTTCCTACTTATCCTTGGAGGATTTGCATGAAATTTAGGGATAATATACCACATATAAGAAGTCTTAAAGGAGTGGTAGACGTGACTAATGCTTAGGAGTGAAGGAATTGACCATTACAAAGATAAATCAATAGGCATGACGTGTACTACGCATCGAGGTGTTCCTTATAGTAAAATCCAATTTTACATCTATCCATGCAGGTACAAATCAAGTGTCCTTGGCTTATTTTAATGCCTTAAAATTCATTTTACTTTCTCTAATAGCCCAAAATATATTAAAGAGCCAATTCCTTAATCCTTCATTTCATTACTTACCCAATTGACATCCTATTCTCTACCGATTTCACAATTCGCAAATCAATATTTATAACATCATATAAGACTTATATTTTTGCACCATGATCATGTCATTTCATGCCTCATATCCCGAATATCTTAAAGACTTAGTTAGGGTTTATAGTAACCATGATTAACCAAATTAAAGCGAGTAACTTTATCGATGATCATTCCAGCACTTTCAAGATCACAATCGTTTAACCTATCAATATCCAACATCTAGATTAACCTAATTTTCTATTATAGCTCAATGTAAAATTCACAACCTAGGCCGAAGAGTCAAAGACTAAAATCTTAAAATCTCAATAATCGAATGCACCATTTTGAGAGAAAGTAATTAAGAAAACTAATGCAAGTGACATTGTGAGTAGCATGAAATGCATGAATCATATTGGCCCAAAGTGCATTGTGAAGTTACGGGTATTATAGGTACCAACAAACATAATTCTTTCCCAATCTTACTTCCCTTAGTCCTTGCACTATTAGTTTTTCCTTTCATAAGATGATGTATCTATCAATTCATCTTGAACAACTGATTAATTATCATGTATAAAGTTAATTGATTAGAAGCTATAATTTTGGCGGCCCTTCTCTTACTTTTCTTTCTGATAACTATGGTATTGTCAATGAAATCTCTGGAGAAGGCAATTAAGATAACATCTTGAGGGCATAAATTGTCTTCCGATTCTCAGCATTCAAAATATGAATTCAAGAACATACAACCATTGTTTTCAATCTCTGTCATTAGATAAATAGGTGTTATAATACTACTTTGATAGATTTGAATTATAAAAATACAAACATAGAATAATACAATGAGTTCAAAAGCATCAAATCACTCTTATATGGAAGAGTCAAAACACATCTCAATGTTAAGAATCAACTTGATATATGAGTAAAAATGAACAATGAATGCTGAATCACTTCGAGGGGATTCACCTCCAAACACCTGTAATGGTGCAACTTGCCAGATAGCTGCTTTTTTCGTATGTCTTCATGGTTAAACACAAAACAAATGACAACAACTTCCAGTTCCCCACGTCTTCCTCTAACATAATCCACTTTAGAAAAGTAAGGAACATGACTACTGCACTACAGATTCTTCCTACGGACTCGGACATGACTGTGGACTCAGTCAACTCTGGCATTTATTCCTACTACTGGACTGGGTTAAGCATAACCCATTGGACTTCATTAACTAGTGACCCAATGCAATACTTGAAGGAATTAATAGGAAGACAAACTGACCCAATACTGGAAAACAAACTAGCCCATGAGCCCACAGGCTCTTACACTCAACTAAAACTTGAAGAACATAATTTGGCACACACCTTTACTTGGGAGGATTCATTGTGTAATAGGTCTGGAGAAAATTTGAGCAAAGAAGAAAAGTGGCAGTGAGTAAGGCAATAAAAGTCCACAGACTGCGAAAATGAGTGTGAAATAGTTCAGCAATACATGTTTTTGCCTTGCTACTGCAGTGCCTCACAATTTTCTTCTTCTCCTCATCAAAAAGGAAGTCAGTTCCAAGTCTGTGAGTATCAATCCCTTTGATTACTTCCACAATCTGTTCATCACTGTCGAGGTCTTTTCTCGCAGTTCCTTAACATCTTCAGATTTAACAATGAGCGACTTCATGAAATTAACATAACATAACGAAGTAAAGTTATACACTTTTTCTAGAGTCATTTCATGTTCAATCATTTGCGTAAATCTTAGCTTGGAATTAGCATGAAAAAAGAAAATCGGGAGTTGAAGTTGCCCATAAAATTTGAAGGATTCGAACTTAATATCCTTCAAACTATATGAACTAGGTTTGAAGTGGATGCCCTTTGCTTTGAGTGCGGTGACTGAAAGAGATTGACGATCGTATTCATTTGAATTTTCTTGAATAATATTCTCTACTCCTGCATTTGTTGGTTCTGGAGTATTGGGGTCTAAAATAGATTGATGATCGTATTCACTTGAAACTTCGTTAATAGTCTCTTCTCCTGCATTTGTTGGTGCTGGAATATCGCAGCCGGGGACTGAATCAGGTAGACGACTGTATAATTCCCTTGGGTTATTTGAATTTTCTAGGTTATGAGTTTCTTCTCCTGCATTTGTTGTTTCATTCCCGTGTTTGACAAGTAGTTGATAAGAAGCATCCAGAAGGTGCAGTGGTTGCCATTCGTCTTCTTCAGGAATTCTTCTTATTAGCTCTTTCTTCCTAAAAACAAAGAAACTTAAGAAGTGATAAATTAAAGTGTATCGACTTGCATGCATTAAATCACACAAGAGCTTAATAACCCGGAGTGGAATTTGATTATTGAATAAAATCAGATCCTCGGATAAAAATGGCGTTGCAGCTATTCCAAGATGCCAACGGGAGTGTTCGAATGTTTTGCTGCATCCCAATTCAATCTTCATGATATAAATAGCGAAAGATGCATCTAGTAGCATCATTTCTGCTAGTGCTCTATCATCATATGCATTTGTAGAATCCCCAACGTAACAATTTCTAATCTGTTCGATCACTTCAGAGATCTGGCTGTAGAGTAATTCTTGGCATCTGCTTGAAACGAAGTCCTCAAGGACTTTACGCTTGAGTTCTTCTGCAATGCGAAGTTCTGGCAAGCCATGGTAATAAGGGCCAAAGGAAACCATCTTAGGAGTGTAGTAATCCTCCTTCGTGTGTTTATTGAATCGCACAAGTTCAGGCACTCTGCGCATTTGGCAGTTTTGACGTTCGGTATCGCTGGCGTTATTTGCTGGAAGGTTTGGGTCTGCCATTAGGTTCAAGAACTGAAATTTCCAATTGCTGTAAGCTTGCTTTATTACAGTTGATACAAACTGAACAGCATTTTCCACTCTTTATAATTCTACTGGGCCCTCAGATAAATAAAATAAATCACCACGTTCTCAATGGTATAATTGAAGTAGCTGCGAGTCACTTAAACCAAAATTTCTCGTGTTTGTTGAACATTATAATTTAATCACTTAAATTTTGTTTTGTTTCAGTGATGTCAGTCTGAAGGCAGTAATAGTCAATGGACTGCTTTTTGTAACATCATCGAATCTAGGTGGGTGGTGTACTGCTAATCTCTTTAATTACCTTCCTAACTTCTTCGATCGGGAGCAGAAGATTATCTCCTTTACTCACATAGCACTTGTTTTACGTCTAACACTGAGTGATTTCATTAAATTAACATATCAATGCGGACACTACAACGTTTCCTATGCGAAGCATCCAGAATGTGAAGCCGCGGCGTTCTCTCCAGGAACTCATGGAATTGCAAGCTAACTTTGATTCTTCTTCATTGTTAGCGATGCATATAATAAAATGAAATTAGTTAACGAAATTAACCAATTAGGTGAATAATACAATAGAATCCTAACTTCCTATTGAACTATTACTAGGCAGTCTCTTAATAAAGGAAGAAAAAAGATTTGTCGGACTTCATCTTAACATCCCTATAACAATCGAAATCACTATCTAAGCAGCAGTTCTTCGTTTGCAACCCTGTCCACTGTAGGCTCGAGATTAACGCCACCATGACCTTCGCAACAGTTTTGCTGTACTGCATCCACAATATATATATATATATATATATTATTGTTTTTGGGTCCATGTAGATGTAATTAGCTGTAAATATTAAATAAAATTAAAACCTATTCGCAAGAGACATCCCACTTGGCAAATCATAAATGAAGAGAATCTCTTATAGTGTGCTTTGTTACAGCTGACTTAACGATGCGATTCTCAAATAGTTGAATCGTATAACCATTATTCAACTATTGATAGCTTTCTAACGTAGCATAATTTTATTTTATTTTGTTTTCACATTTTTTGATTTATCATGCTTGGCAAAACTTTTAATTTACTGAATGGTCAAACATCATTTCTATTCACACAATTTGTAGGATTTATAATTTATATCTATTTTATATCCACTCATTTCATAAAATTTACATCTGATAATCTCGAAAGAAAAAAAAATACACACTATCGAAGATACACTTAATATTTTGGATTCGAAAAGATTTAAATTTCAAATCCTCAACCAATTATTCTATTAGAAACTGAACAAGGATTGTGTATTTTTTTTATATCACTTGTTGGGGTTGGGATGAGGTATCTGACAAGATATAAAGTATCATGGCCAATGTTCTACATAGCGTAATGCATGGCGATGCGTCGATGCCAAGCTAAAGGGCTAGGCGAGATTAGGTGAGGCAAATGCATTAAAAAGCGTTAAATAGGTGAGCTATTTAGTACAGTGATCATGGCTATGAGGTTTGCAATTTGTAGAACGAAAAAGGAAAAAGAAATATTATAGATTGAAAATACTTTTTTACGAAAGTCTTTCAAAATCTTTGGATGAATGAAAGACTTTTTATGAAATTTTTATATTTGTACTTTCTAAGCAAAAATTAGTACGTGGAGGATTTCATAAAAGTCATTAACATTTGAATATTGTATAACTTTTTAAGATTTTAAAAGTCTTTATTTTATACCCCTGACTTTTAAAGATTTTCAATGAGTCCATAGGGAATACCCGAAACTTCTACGTAGTCTTAAAAATATACCTAGATTATTTTTTTAAATCTAGAAAAGTCTAAATTAAACCACTGTCTATCTCCATTTAATCATATATTAACACAATAAAATATTTTGTACGTAAATCCAAAATATTTTCATACTTTTCAATCACATGTTATTTAAAAGATCACTAATTAAAACATCATTTTTTATAAATAATACCCATCAAACATGGACTAAATACAACCCTTGTCATATAAGGATTACCCGTGCAAGTGCTTGACAATGGCTTACTCAATCATCATTCCTTGTATCTTCACGTGTTGTCTCTTTTTTGAAAATTAAGAAACACACTTTTTTCTGAGTAATGCTATTTAGCCTTACTAAGGTTACAACCCTAGTTTAGGTAACGTTAATGTGACATTAAATGATAAGTGAAATTAAATAAGTCATTTAATTTCACATTTTATTCAACATATCATCTAGCACTATCTAAACTGGGGTTATATAACATTATTCATTTTTTTCTCACGTACTTTAAAACTAGGCACAATATTAAGAGAATCATCACAATAATTTTAGAAATGAAAAATTGGATAGTTCCCTTAATAATCAACATCCAAAACAAAAAAGGCACACTATGACTAGACAATCTCTCAATAAAGGAAGAAAAATGATTTATTGGACTCATCTTAACATCCCTATAACAATCGAAATCATTATCTATGCAGCAGTTCTTCGTTTGCAACCCTGTCAACTGTAGGCTTGAGATTAACGCTACCATGACCTTCGCAACAGTTTTGCTGTACTGCATCCACCATCTTGTACCCTTCGCTCATTGCCATAAAGATCGCCCACCATCTGTTTTTAACGATTAATTAATTTGCATCCTTAATTATTGGGAGAAACAACACGTTAAGCGGAGCATTTCATGCTGAGATGTCTCCATGAAATTGCTGCTCTATTTTTTAAACTTGGACTATGGTCCCAAGTTTCAAACGCTAGATAAATTAAATCAATTTTCATTTCTAGAAGGGAGTTAATAATAATAATAATTATTACTATTATTATTATCATTACTACTAATACTACTATTATTTTAGTTTTATTTTTAATTACATGTAGCAACTTATAAAAATAGGAAAAATTGCAGCACTGGTCTCAACCTATTGCTCAAGTTAATTTGGTCCATAAGCTCTAAAATAAGCAAGTTCTGCAAATTTTCATCATAATTTTACTACCATCCTCAATGACAAAAACGGACTCCAAGAACTCATACATCCTACTATTTTGAAGCTGTTGACAGGGTACGTTTCAATGAGAATCGTAAAATGATAATATAGATATTTGGACTCATTACATTTGTGTTTGAGCACCAATATTATAAAATCTGGTGACCAACTTGATACTCAAACTACACATTGACAATCAGTAGTGCAATTCTCTGTAAAATTATGTTAAATACGAAGAATTTCTTTAAATTAATTTGTAATCAATATGGCCACCTTTTGTGCCACAACCTCAAACTGCTAGGGGATTTGTATCGATTCATCTCTACTGTCCCCATTATTAACCTTGGAATTACAATTTGCAACTTGTCCTTCTCGATCCATCATTAGGAAGGAGTGTAGACTTGTCTCTAATCCCAACTAATGCAAGCAGAATAATAAACGCTAACGAATAAGGAATTTACTGGATAACTAAAAACAATTCTTCATGATTTTATTCAATATTCAAAATCAACCATCTGCAATAAAATCCGAATTAACTTCCTATTCGAACAGCAAATCATAACTAAATTCTTCAATAATAAAAACTCATGAAGGCCTAATATATTTTGAACAATAAATCCTAACAAATATTTTATATAAATGTAAACTCTTGAAACCCATCTAATCAAAATAAAATTCTAGACAGAAAACAACAAAAGATTATTAAATGAATTATAACTAAACAAATAAAAACACTTTATTCGGCATCACTTAGTGTACGCTAAACTGATTAAAGTGTTCCATTCTAAAGATATAAGGTGAGAATTCATCATATATCTTTAATTACAATTTTACTTTCTCTGCTATATCTAAAGGTGGGACGGGGTTCCATTTTCATGATATATGGTAAGAAAAAACGTTTTGTATGAAAGCAATCATGGGTTGAAAACTCGTATTCCAATTCCTATTGGTGTGAAAGATGAAGATCCCATCTGGTAATCTATATACAAAATGATAACAATGTATCTTACTCAGTTGATTCAACGTTCAATTAACAAATAGTAATTGTCAGGACATGATAGACATTCCATATAATTTACTGAATTACTATTGACAGCTTTTGTCCATACAATATAAATTACTACGTTCCATTCACAGCTAATTATTGATCGTAAGGAATCAGATTTTTAATTTAATTTTTCAACTCCTCGTTCACTCAATGCTTCTATGGCCAAAATGATAATTAATTCTAGAATCATCGAATTTGTAGATGGGTTGAAAACGTTGATAGTCCCAACTATCAAATTTGGCGTTTCTATCAATTTTGGCGTTTACTAACTATTAAGAAACATCCCCTATATATAAGACAACTCCGTAAAGAGAGATCATATCTATATAATATGATTAGGGGCCAATGTTATTAATGAATCTGTTGAGTTTTATGGCTCAAAATTAGGTTAGAAGATCACGAAGTCATGTTATTGGGGTATTGGAATTCTTGCATGGAAAGATATCAAAGTAGTATTCATGAAGAAGGAAACAAAATCCTACTCGGAGAATATTGCATGCGACCGCACAGGTTAACCCATGCGGTAGCACCAGTGCATGCAAGGAATTTTTTCTTGTCGAATGACTGCTCCATGCGGCCGCATGGAACTAAACCATGGGGCCACATGGTTCGGTTTTTTGTCTTCAACAGATTTGGTATGTTTTACGCGTTTTTAACCTAGTTTGCATATTTTCTCCTATTTTTAGGGTTTGGCTCGTGTACTAAAAATATAGACTTCTTTTTCTAGTATTACTGAAGCCATAATTGCTGTAGTTCTCTCCTTTCATAGTCTTTGAATAAAATAAAATCGTTCCTCTGCTTAAATTATCTTTTGATCTTTTACTTTTATCTTGTTCTTGTTTATTTGTGATTATTCCAACTATATTGAGTATCATACATGTAACGATTGTAGTAGGGATCTTCACTAGTAGATCCATGATCTTTATTTATACTTCATATTGGGTTCATCAAATCTCAATTCTTACGTTGT